GATAGCAGCAGCAAAGCAGTGAAATTCATTGCCCCGGCCCCCCCCCCCCCCTCTGCCTCCCTCTGTCCATCACCCCAGACCCCCCACAAAAATGTGAACGGCTCTTCTGGTTCAGACTCGCACGTTGTGGAGAAACTCAGCGGGCACCCTGAGGTCCAACGTCGGCGCCACACGATGGATAGAGACTCCAAAACAGCCGAGCACCGTTTCTTCCGCCGGAGTGTCATTTGTGACTCCAATGCCACAGCTTTGGATCTGCCCAGCAAAGCAGCCGTGATACTCACCTCTCCTCCAGACTGTGAAGGGCCGCCCACCTTCTTTTCTCTACAGCCCTGTGGTCCTGGACCTGGGGTACGGGATGCTGAAGGTGGGGAGGTCCCAAGAGGTCCGTATGTGCAGAGCTCGACCCTTCAGCCTGGTCTTGGGCTTGGTGGGGCAGTCGCTGAGGGGCATGCACAAACTCCTGAGGACAATTTAGATGTGGGCAGTATTACGATTGCTGTTCCTACCAGTAGCAGCGTTCAACATAGTGCAGATGGGGAAGTAAAAGAGCCCAGCCCGACAGTATTGGATGTTTCCGACAAAACAGCAGGCCAACAGCCTGAAGTTATATTGCGTCCCAGAGGGTCAGAGAACATAGAACAGGTGGCAAAAGATGGAAAAGCGATAGAACGCGTGGACGAGGGTAGCGTTAGTAGTCCGATTGAGGAGAAAGAGAGGGAGACGGAGGAGGAGAGGGGGCTAGCCAAAGCGCGGGCAGAGCAGAGGGAGGCTGAAAAACGAGTACAAGAGGATATAGAGGAGGTGGAGACAAAAGCTGTGGGAACATCGCCAGATGGACGCTTCCTCAAATTTGACATTGAGATTGGAAGAGGGTCCTTTAAGACTGTGTACAAGGGACTGGATACAGAGACTACTGTGGAAGTGGCGTGGTGTGAGCTCCAGGTGAGTCCAGACTCATAAAACTGTCACCTCTTCAGTGTCTGTGCTCTCTCTTCCTGTTTATCTGGCCAAGTATTTAATTAAATGTCATTTTGTGGCTGTGTTCACCCCTGAGGTGTCTGAACTCCATCCAGGTGCTGAATTTAACCTCTCTTTTACTGTTATTATCTTGAGATAACTGGTATGCGGGAACTTCCTATTCACCCAGATGCTTTCCTGTATAAACGGTGACTAAATGAGATAAGGATCTGATTGAGATTGAGATACGGGTGTAGATCACATCCTGGCTAAACTCAGTTTAGATAAAGCATCACTAGTCTTTAGGGCCCGGCAGGCAGTAAGTGAGACCGCGGGGAAACATTTTATTCAGATGTTTCCTATCAACAAGGTGTTTGTTCTTTAAAGCAGCAACATCGAGGTAGTTGATTAGCTTTTTCAAGGTGGATTTTGGTTTGGATTTGTTTGGTTTGCACATTTCCTTTAGGTCCATTTAGGTTGTGTGTTTTGACTGTTGCTTTTCCCCATGAATAATGGACTCAGTCAGTTATTAAAAAAAAAAAAAGCTTCTTGGACTGGTTTATTAAAAGATTAGTTGTCTGGTACTGCTTAAAAAGAATATTTGGTTGACTATTTATAAAATGTTTATAATGTTGACCTGTTCTCGTAGCAGCTCCTTGGGCCAAATTCGTATTCACAAAAATTAGGTCTTGTCAAAATCTTCTCCTTGGTTACTCTGATTTTGCATGACTGACAGAAAAAATCGGACAAACTCAGGAGGTATGTTGCAACTCCTGCCTTCCACTGTGGCTGAGCCACTTGTTTGACTATGACTCATGGATTTGTTTTGTTTTTTAACTGCTGCATCCCGACAGACTCTGGTATTAACGGTTTACTTTTTAACGTCTGTGAACGGATGCTGCGGTGCTACCACAAGTTGCACAAATGAGTTTTGAATGAGGAAGAGGATGCGATCAAGACTTATATACAAGTGAGATTTATTACCTGAATACTGTGATCTGTCAGTAATCAAACCACATAAACCTGCCTGCTTGATATCTGTAGAATGTAGGATGAATTTTTAGGACATTATTTTAAAGGTTAGAGAAGTATGCTCATTGGCGAGAGACTTCCTCGTCTAAATCCCCAGACTGTCTGGGAAATTCAGGGTATTGAAAGTGAATGAGAAACACTGTTGCATCTCTCACCTACTTTTCCCGGTTATGGTGCCCTTGAGCAGAAAAGATTACTTTTAGCTGCTCCAGTATAGTTTCTCCGTGGCTATAACAAGACTTGTTGCACTGGACAGCTTCCATTCCCAGTCTGCAGATAGACAAAGGTTAACAGCAACAAAAAAAGACTGCGTCTCATACACAGTGTGAAACATGAGACAGGATGGCACACAGTTCACCACAGGATGCTCTTGCTACATTATGGTTCACTGATGCAACTTCTGCAGTGAGTGTGTGTGTCAGAACGAGAGGGAGAGAGACATACAGAAAGTGTGAAGAGGAGTTGGAAGAGATGTGTGTGTGTGTGTATATGTGTGTTGGCAGGAGATGTGAGGCCCACAGAAAGTGGAAAAAAAAATGTTTTGCAGATCGTTTTGTTGTAGGCACGGAGACAGAGGTGCGTTCGGTAGTTAGAGATGTAGAATAACAGTCAGAGCTGGTCATATGACGTTCAGGGCACTGACTGAGTTGAGGTTTGAGCGGAGGCAGAAAACAGTGACATGTATTTACGTGGAACTACTTGCCATAATGAAACACTGAAACAAACATACAAGATTAAAATATGGTACTTTTTATCTGTTATACTGTGGTTTTCTGCAATATTAGGGAGAGGGAATGACATAATTAGCAACAAACCAAGAGTAATTTGAGACATGTCAGAAATCAGGCAGAAAAAGTTCATTATGAATTGAAAGGCATGGGTTACCTAGGCTTGTTTTTGTTCCATCTTTTCAACATGCTGCTTCACTCTCTGACAGTTGAATGAATCCGAATCAGAAAAGTCAAACAAGGTGAGACCGCGTAATTAAATGTTTTCCCTGCAAATCCGCACGTGTTTATGTTTTCAGCGTGTGATTATTTCATGTGGGAGTGCGCGGTTGTTTTTCCTGTCATCTCCATCACAAGATGCTCCTCGAGTCTTCCTGAATCCCAGGAGCTAAAATCAGCTTCGCCTGATGCCTGCGTCTAGGAAACGCCAGTTTGTTTATCAGAAAACAAACGTCTAGCCTCTGTTGAGCTCGCTCCCTCTGTCACACAGGCCTGTTTCTTTCTCTTGCTTGTCAGAACGAGGAAACCTAGTGATTATTGGCCATGTTCTGAGTTCAAGGGGTCTTTATCAGGTCAAATTCAGAACTCATATTGATTTTCATGGTGATTTTTAAAGTTATAATTTGGTTAAATAATCGGAATAAACTGCCTGATGCATTATTTGCTACAAGTATTTTATTTAATACTCTCTTGTATTAGTGGAATGAAACTTTCCATTAAACATTATATACTGCATGTGTTATATAAGGGTATTGGGGAGCCTGTGGTGACTAGGCTATATGCATGCAGAGACAAGTACTTTTCTACAGAGCCGGGCTGTAATCCTGTGTGTGTGCGCGCGTGTGTGTCAAAGATGACTGAGCAACTGCTGACATGTGGCAGAATGGTGGGAGTAAAGTTACACACACACACACACATGCACACAGACACACAACCAATCACATTCACTCACTGGGTGGGCATGGGAACTGGAGATCTGTGGGAGTCGGGATGATCTGGAACTTGTCGGTTTTCTATATGTGCAAATGTGTGTGTTTCCATCTCTTTGACTCGTATGCATAGTATGTATCAGAGGTTGTTTAAATTCTAGTGTGTGTGTGTGTGTGTGTGTGTGTGTTTCAGAGATAGATCGGGGGGTGTCTTTACATTCTTTAGCATCTGATCCAAAGCAGGTTAACATCTGTTTGCAGGAGAATCTATAGATGGATGGAAACAGAGAAGGAGGGAGATGGAGCAGATAGTTTACTTAAGCTTTAGTGAAGAAACCCATAGAGCGAAGTGGTGAGAAAGAGGGGAAGGTCACCGAGTAGCTTATCTTAAGATGCCTTGTGAGACAGAATGGAAGATGATGGATGGGGAAGAAGAGGCGGACACAGTTCTCTTGGAATGAGAAAAAATGGAGAAGGATAAATGTTTAGGATGAGTTTGAATCTTGAGTTACAAAGCTAGACATCGCTTGAAATGACGACGGTTTTAACCACAGTATGTTGATGGTATCTGTTAACTATTTACTCGAAAGCCCTCAGTCAGGGGGGAAAATACTGGGTCTCTCAATAACCAAACATTAGCATTGTAATGTCTGAATCTGTGGCTCATGAGAGAGTGAAAGTGGTGAATGAATGGTATTTATTTTCTTGTTTGATATTTTTCCTTCATAAATAACTCCTTTCTCTCTCAGATAAAGTAAAAACTTTTGTACATTTGCGAAGTATGTCACTATAAATTGAATACCTTTGGGTCTGGGACTGGTTGGTCAGACAAAACAAGATATTTCATCACTCTGGCTCGTAAGGAAAAACAGGACTTGAGGACAGCAGCGAGCACACAGTTCAAACAACTGCCACTGACAACATACATTCTCCATGCAACTGAGATAAAGTTGAGAGTGAGTCCACTACAAGGCATTGAAAGTATGGAGGGAAAGGAGAAAAATGAAGTCCTATAAGAGGGCAGGGACAGAGGATGGAGGGGAGGAGGAGGAGGGGTGGAGGAGGGGTGAAGGTCAAAGTTCAGCCCCGTTGTGTCCAAAGCAATCACAAGGAGCCTGTCCAGCATTCAGCTACCTTTTGGTAATGGGGGTAGAGTGTGACAGAGACGTAATGAGCAAAACAGAGATTAGATGGAATAAGTTACAGAAAAATTCCGCTCTGGAGAACTTTTGGGAGGACAGGTGGTCGGAGGAGATTAGGAGGAAGAGGATGAAGGCAACGGGAAAGAGCAGCAGTTTTAGGAAGAGGGAGGTGATCGTGGTGGGAGTTCAACGAGATAATCGAGAAATGGGAAACATTGGGAGGAGAGAGGGAGAAAAGAGTGGAAGAGAAAAGACAAAGGAAATGGAAAAAAGCGAGGAGAAGGAGGAGGGAGAGGAGCACAGAAGCCTAGGACGAAAAGAAGAGGGACCCTGATTGTGTGTGTGTGTGTGTG